GAAGAGAAGGGACTTGGAGCTTGATTGGAAAAACAGCCTCAACTCCATAAACCAAAGAAAATGGTGTGGCAGCAACAACAGTCTTGAACAATATGCTTATAGATGAAGCGAGCTGTGGAAGACTGATTAGCATGCCATAAAGGGATTGCCACCACCCATTTCATAAAGTAGTTTCTAGACATGAGAAGATAGTGATGATCCTGTGAGTTGGCAGGTGAAATCAATCCTAAAAAATCCAAGCCCCACTTGAAGAATGGTCCTAAGGATGTGACAACCTAGAATTGGAAGTGTGGAATATGACTCAAATGATTGAACTTCTGGCACAAGAGGCAAGTCTCTGTGAAGGTTGTTGTGTCGTGATGAAGTGTTGGCCAATAATACCCATAATGAAGCAAGAGTTGAGTAATAATTTTCCCTAAAAAGGGGCAAGCACAGGTGTGGAAGGCTCAAAGAAGAGGACTCCATCTTTGGTCCACAAATAAAGTGCTCCACCAAAAAGGCTTGTTGATGCTCTATGGATGAATCCAGAGGATATATCTCACTATTCAAATACTCAACAATATCCTTGAGAGCTGCTGGAACTATGAAAAACTCTATGTTGGTTGAAACCATGAGCTGGCTAGGATTGTATACACATTATTGTTGCCTCATGAAAGTGTAAGTTGCTAAGTTTAGACTTCCCAAAAAATCACCTAACTCAGTACTATTCAAACTTAAAGACACTTAACCTTAACTATTCTAATATCCTTAACCTATTGGAAAAGGGGGTGCATTCTTATTTATGAGCCATTTCTTTTAATATTTGAACCTTTATAAATCATTTCTTGAGTTATTATCTTTGGTTGCTATAATCCATTATGCTTCCTTGCAAGTTCATGCCCTTGTGAACAGAAGCTAAGAGCCACAACTCTCTTGAGAGCCTCACTCTCTTGACACCCTACCCCTTGGGTTAAGCCCAGCTGGAGTAAATTGGACTTATTGGATGTTATTCAACATGTGGTATGATTCCTCTAACTAACAACAAAGTTGAACCCAAGACCTATCTAATACTAAATGTAAGCTCTTGAGTTTGGTACATTCTTATTCATGGGCCTTTTTCTTTTATATTTAAACCTTTATAAATCGTTTCTTGAGTCATTCCCTTTGGTTATTTATAGAAATTCACTAGAATATAAACTTTTAAATTTAAACTTCCTAAGAGGTTACCCAACTCAGTACTATTCAAACCCAAGGACATTTATCCCCAATTATCTCAAGACTCTTAACCGATTGGAAAAGGGGGTGCACTTTTACTCATGAGCCCTTTCCTTCTATATTTGAACTCCATAGATTGTCTTTTAAGTCGTTCTCATTGGTTGCTTACATAGAACTCCTAAATCATAAATGTCCACTATAAAGTACATGGAATTTGCAAATTTCTCTATAATAGAATGGTTAGAACATTCATAGACGTATAAAAATGGATATAGGCTCCCAAAAGCAAGTGGTGGAAATGCTAAAATGTGTACACCACCATAAAGGCTTCTTTCTCTACAAGTGTGTATTGTTGCTCAATGGTGGAGAAAGAGTGGGAGGAGTTAAGGAAAAGGAATGGGGTCATTCATGACAATAATATGATATATATGATCAATAAAGAGGAGAGGTTATGGAAGATGAAAACTTTAAGTTTGAGTGCAACACTTTTCAATCATGACTTAAGTACTTAGGATGAAAGAAGATGAAGAAGTGTTTATGAAAAATCCAAAATAGCATTTTTAGTTATTCTTTACCTAGAAAAGAATAATTGTGATAAAATTGAATAATGAGTCTTATAAATATATACTACAAACCTTTAACTTTTTCTATACAAACTAAGTATATTTTTAAAACTATTCTTATTAAAAAATAGAATTTTTATTATTTAGGCTTAAAGTTTTGAAAAATAGATAATATTTAATTAAAAAAATCCAAAAGTCTATTCTTATGAACTTAGGTATGACTACACTTTTTTTCTAATTATGGAGGATATTTTATAATATTTATTTAAATTTTTTTATTATTATTGATTTTTTCATTCTTCCATTAAATGAAAAAAATATCATCTTTAATAGTTACTACATTAATAAAATTTTACCTATTATATTTTATAGTTAAAAATATGAATGGAAAAGTATTGATTCTTTTTATTTCTATGCAATTCACAAGTTGTTTATTACGTAATCCTAAATTTAATATTGATTGGGGTACAAATAATACTTTAACTGCAAAAGAAGTTACAATGTTAATAATTAATTATAACTCAATGTTTTCTAGAATAAGAACAAGAGAAAGTGACTTTTATCCAAGAAATTATATATATAGAGAACCATTTGATCTTATATTTGGAGTTGCTATTTTACAAATTCAATTTTTAGATAATAATTTACAAAATTGTTTCCCACAAAATACAGGTAATAATATCAAGGGTAAGTCAATGAGAATGGGATTTCGTCGTATATTAGATAATGTTACAAATGATTTACATAATGCTCGTTCTAATAGATGTAAGGTTGTTGGTGAAAAGTATCAAATTGAGTATTCATACTTTCGCTATCGCAATAAGGAATTATTATATGAATTGGATGTTACTTCTATGCTGAATCTATATAGAGCTTGTGATAATAGTTTAACCACTTTAAGTGCTGGACTTACAAATAATAAGCTTTATACAAATGAATTTATAAGGTCACCAAATGGAAAAAATATATTAATTCTAGAATTAAATTGTAAAATTTCTCTATATTCTCAAAAAACTTTAATTTGGAGATCAAAAGGTAATAATAATTATTATGGGGCATGTATATTTATAATACAAATTGATGGCAATGCTGTTATATACACTGAAACAAAAGTTATAGTATGGTCTATTAACATATATTGTCTCAATACACCATATTGTTTCTTATTTACTTTTCTTTCTTTACAAGATAATTGTAATTTAGTTTTATATCAGATAAATAAAAATGGTGAAAATGAACCTTTATGGGCAACTAATACTAAATGCTTTATTTGAATAAAGAAATTACCCTGTTTGTGGTAGTGACAGGGTATCAAGCTAAAAAATAGTATTGCCACCAAGTGAGAGGGGGTTGTTATTTTAGATTTTGAATTTATATTTTGAATTATATTATAAATATAATATAAGTACTAAATAATTTTCTATACTTTATGTATTTATTACTATAAATACAGAATTGTTTTAAGCTATATTAAATTGTGCTTAGAAAGTTAAGCCTACCAAAACTATTATGTTAATTTTTTCCTATTAATGATTTTGGTTTGCTTGAACAAAACCCAAAAGTCGTGGATATTCTTAGAAAAGTTTTAGTGCCAAAATGCAACAATAAACTGAGGCTAAGTGTATTTTAGAACATCACGATTTCAATTCTCTCAATCTGAGTAAGTCAAAGTATTTTATCTCTATATGCATGTGATTCTGAGAATTTTAATGTAGAATTCCAATCTGTTTTATAAAATAAATCAGAACATTTTAAATGCCACTATGGCACATACTCTTTATATTTGACATCACTTGCTTTATAAATTTAAAGATGCTAAAGTATGGGAGGAGGGCCATGGTAAGGAGTTCTTAATCTCCTAAGATTTCAATGGTAGGTAAACAATTATACTAGGGTTAAGGATGACCAAGGAGCTCTAGCACCTCAAGTTGCAAAATTTATAGTTGTTGTAGATTGCTATATAATCTTATCATCTTGACACTCCCATAGAATTATCAACTTAAAAATTTAATTTCTAACAACCATAGAAATAATAATAATCTGTTGCACCACTTGGTTTTCTTAATAATAGTATTATTCTTATTTATTAATCTAATTGATCAAATGAAAGTTTATAAGTATAATAAACATGTTTATAATTTATAAAAATAAGATTAATTTTATTGAATATCAACCATTAGATGGTATAATAAATTATAATATACTAAAAGGTTTTTTAAACTTTAGAAATGTCTATAAATTATAAATACTTGATTATTCTAAATGAATAGCAACCATTTGATGGTAGAATATCCTAGAATATCCAAGGATGTTCTAGGTATATCCACTACCAGTTTACTTAAGACCATTGTTAAAATCATAATGAACCAGCTATAAATGCTTGAACCAATAATATATAATAAAATTTTAAAGGCTACTATTCTACTGCAAAATAAATTAATAACTCTTCTAGAAACATAATATTTATCCTTGTCCACTTTAGTTGTCTTCTATATATAATAAATTGAACTTCTTCCATATGTATTTTAAATCCATAATTCCATTTGGACTTGTTTTGCTCTTTTATTTTCCAGTCTGTTAAAGTAAACATTCTATTCAGAGTCATTATATTTATCCTCACTTTGTATTCATATTATTTATCCTCATTCCAATACCCTCTTATTGCTCATCCTCACTTCATTATACGGGAGGGAGACTCCCCTCCATCTCCTCCACTCCCTCCTCCAATGAAAATAAAAGTTTGAAGTGTCAAAAGAAAGCCAAAATTAAAGAAACAAGGTGGAAGAAAAAAAACAAGCGATTTAGGGTTTATTTAAACCTAAACCCTAAAGTTAACCCTTGGGATTTTCAGAAAATAAAAGCATTATTGATATCAGGTATGCAATTTATAAAATTAAGCAACTTTGCATGCTTAGAAGTTAGTCTATAATAAAGAGTTACTCTCAACCTTTGAGCCACCTTGTCTGTGGAGGGTGATATGAAATTCCTCTTGGAGCACATTTAAGAAGAAGCCCCACATTCTCGTGAATGCTGCCAGTTCCTCTATTGAGGAGTTAGAAAGTGCTTGCAAATGCTGAACGATATAATGGCCAAGTGGGTCGCTAATTAGTAAAGTAAGTGGGTTTTCGCACCCACCATTAATTTAGGGCTTTTACATCAGAGGATTTTAGCCTAATTTAAAATTTTAATGTTATTCTTTTCACACCAATATTAGTTAATAATAGCATTAGTAGTTATTAGTAATTTTGGGTGATAAAAACTTTGGATAATGTTAACCGGTTCACACTCCCATTAAATTAGCTAATTTAATGATGCTATGTTCACACCAACTATTAAGTGGATAGTGGACTTCTTCTGCTGTGCCTCTATCTTCGTTTTCAATACCTGTGCCAAAGTTGCTGCTACGAGAACCACTGCCAGAACCACCAGATCTTGTAGGAGGACGACTGCTACTGTCACAAAGCTTTGCTAGAGTGATATTTGGCTTTGCAGAGAGAAACTCATCAATCTCATCAAAAGCCTCTTTCTCAATTATTCCAAGCTTCGCAGCACTTCGTTCCTTGGTCGTCAGCGCAAAGTAATTGCCACAGCCAGTGGAATGATCATAGAGCTTGACGGCTTTGTAGACAGTCATCAAGTTCGTCCATTTTATCCTACACTTCTCAAGATCCTTGTCATAGCCTTCAGCTTGAAGCCGTGCTGAGATCCTCTCCCACTTCTCTTTCGAACAAACCATACGCTCTCTATCAGATGTGCCTTCGTATTGTTCGAGCTCAATCCTCTTCTCCCGAATCAGCACCATCACTTCATCGTGAGTCCAATTGGATTGTCGATCACGAACACTTGGACCACCAAAACTCATGATACCTCCACCAGGAACACTAGTAGCAACACCATGAGAACTTGCAGTAGCTCCAAAACCAGGAACAAGAGTTCCTACACCTGATCCACTACCACTGCTTCCACTTCCACCAACAGCAAGACAGTGAGAGCTTGCACCTGCTCTAGGAAGAAGAGTTCCACCAGCACCTGGTCCAAGATCTCCAACAGCAACACCATGAGAATCTGCACCAAGACTTCCACCAGCACTTGGTCCAAAACTTTCAGCAGCAACACAGTGAGAATTTGGGCCAAGAGTTCTACCAGCACCTAAGCCAAGACTTCCAGCACCAACACCGTGAGAAACGCCAAGACCTTCAACACCGTGAAAACCTACTCCAGTCATCCATAGCATGCTTGGCTAGAAGTAAAATGCTCTAAAATGTGCTAGAAATGCCTAGGATTGATCTCTTACCTCGTTTCTGCCGTGGTACGCTTGCCAACACCACGCCTCGCCGCTCCATGGGCATCCCCACTACTCGTAGCTAACAACACCGCGCACTGCACGCCACGCCAAAACGAAAGCAAGTGAAAGCCCTATAGAATATTCGTGAATATTTTAATCCTAATGCTACTAAAGTGTAGCATTAGGATTTTAGTGAAAAATGCATAAGAAATACTAATGGAAACATTAGCTTATTTTAATGTTAATTTCTGGTGTGAACAAGTTACCATTAAATTTAATAGTTAAATTAAAGTTTACAAATTTAATATAATAATGTAATGGTGTGAACGAATTACCATTAAATTTACAAAGTTAATGGTGGGTGCGAAAACCCCCTAAGTAATACTTTTTTATGTTCTAGCCCTAAAGTCTGGAACCAATCGTTCTTCTTGGAATGCGCTTTGCGCCTACGAATTCCCGGGCGCTGGAATGGCGAGTGATGAGAGTAAGAATGGATCGAAGCTAGATCCATCGCTAATCACTTCCTCTCGCTTCGGCATTTGTGATTTTCTTGGCAGATCTCCATGGAGCGCAAGGCATCAGCGAGCTCTGCCAGCGCCTAGGCCCCGCGTGGACGTGCCAGGGCAGCGAGACCTCCACTGGCTTCTTCGTGGAGCTCCTCAAGTCCAACGCCACGCCAGTAGTCCCGCGATCCACTCCAAGGCACTGCCCCAGCCTCCTCCTCACCCAGGAGGAGCAAAGGTGGAGATTTGGCACTCGAGCCTTTGCCTATTGCCTGGGACTGGCCTATTGCTTCCTGGGACTGGCAGTGATCACTCGCGTCTACATGAGAGCTCTGGATTCCATCGTTCGCCACAGCAGGAAATCGGTCCACAGGGATCCCATCACTGGGCTCAGAATTTTCAGCGAGAGGAGGATCTGGAATCCCACCGTCGCGGACATCACGCTCCTCGCGCTGGGAACTTGTGCTCCACAGGTCTCGCTCGCGGTGATTGATGCCTTCCAACACATTGGACAAACTTCTGGCAGTTACACTCCTTTTTCTTTCTTCTTTTTTCTCTTTTGTTGTTCTTGGATTTGTATTCTTCTCTTTTGTCATCTTTGCATTGATGGAGCTTCGTTTCCTCGGATGTTTGCAGAGCTTGGAGCTGGAACGCTGCTCGGATCGACGGCATTTAACTTGTTCTTGATACTCGCGGTTTGCGTCGTGGCTCCCAAACGCTTCCAGACCAAGTCGATAAGGAACGTTGGAGTTTATATCATCGAAGTTGTTTGGTCTTTCTGGGCCTACGTCTGGCTCTTTTTGATCTTGGAGGTAAACTTTCTCATCATCCTTTCGAGTTTTCTTCCTTGATTTTTCTTGTTGACGATTCTTTAGATCTGGACTCCCAACGAGATCACTCTCTGGGAAGCAGTCTTGACAGTGGCACAGTTCCCACTTCTGGTTCTTCACGCTTACGTCCAAGACAGGAACTGGAAATATTTGTCAATACCACTGAGAGAGTCGGACGCTATCGAAAGCTCGGACATGAACAACTTACATGAGCTCGCCAACGTTTCTCGGAGCTCCAAGTTCGCGGCCATGAGGTGAGTCTCGGACGCATCCCTTGTTGTAAGGCTATGGCAAATCACTTCTTGTTGTAAGTAGGACCTGGAGAGGCATTATGATGAGTCTTATGGCAGATATATCGAAGGCTCCGAGTCGTCAGCTGCGAAGGCAGCGGTCTTGCACTTCACCGATGGCAGCGCGGATGTTTTCGGTAAGAGAGTTGGTTGCCACTCGGCCTCATAATTTTCGTTTGTTCTTCTTTTCGAGCCGAGCAGAAGACGTTGATACGAGCAGCAGAGACAACTTCGCGTTTCTGAGAGAGGGAGCCGAAACCGAGCATTTCTCTTGGAAAGCTCTGGGTACCGCGTGGAAGAACCAGTTTTACGATGCCATGACCGTAAGCTTCTTCGGTTCCCTCGACTTTTTTGCTGAACTTTGTTTTCGATGTCAGGTAGCTAGCATCGAAGAGGGTCGTGGTCAAAGGAAGCGCACTCCCTCGACGCTCCAGTTGCTACTCCATCCCATTGTCTCTTACTGGAAAGTCAGCTTTGCTTTCATTCCCCCCGTTCAACTTCTTCACGGATGGCTCGCGTTTCTGGGCTCCATTTGCTTCATTACATGGATCTCCTACGTCGTTGTCGCGCTCTCAAATCGCATCAACTGCGTGACAGGTATGAGACCATTATTTTCGCGATTTTGGCAAGAGAAAAAAAATAAAAAAACAAAAAAAAAAATGTGTTTTTTACCACAGGAATCAGCTCCTACGTACTGGCTTTGACGGTGTTAGCGGCAGGAACGTCCCTTCCAAACCTTATGGCGAGTAAGATCGCTGCGGAGGAATACGACACTGCGGATTCAGCCATAGCAAACATCAATGCGAGGTAACAGATTCTTGACTTCATGTTTACCTGCTTGATGAAAGTTCTCTTCACAGCAATTGTATCAATGTTTACGTGGGATTTGGCGTCCCGTGGTGCGTCTCAGCACTCTATAGCACGGGCTTCCATCAGAATCTGGTGGTTCCCGTAGAGGGATTGAAATTTCTGCTCTCGGTCTATTTCTCCACGGCAATAACGTGCTTCGTTGCTCTTACAGCGAGGCGACGTCTTCTGGGAGGAGAACTAGGTGGACCCCGGAAATGGGCTTGGGCTTCTGCCATCTTCTTTTTCCTTCTCTGGATCACATTCTTGACGCTTGCTTGTTTGGCAGGCAGATTTACGTGATCTGTTGTAAAAATAAGCCATCAATTACACATAGAATCAATTCTTTTGCCATCGGAGGAATGCAAAAACTACAACCTTTAGCTTTAGTGATTCTTCTCTCCCGACGACAAACCAAGGATCTGGAAAAGATTATGTTGTAGAGCCAGAACGAAGCAAGACCTGTCAAAGGAGAACAAAACGAATCTCAAAGGTTCAAATGCTAGGTAACAGTATACCTTCTGGCAGATAGGACGCTGCTTGGTGTTCGTCTTGAAGCTGCCACTACAAATCAATCAAACATAAGAAAATGATTACCAATAGTTCCTGTCTCCAGGATCAAGGAAGGGTGCTATTGTGTTACTATTTAAACGAGTTCCAAGGAAGCATAGTCACATGGCCGTTGTTTCATTTCCAAGACGATTGAAAACAAATCTCTGGACAGATGGAAATATTTAGCAAAAAAAGTTTTAAGCAACAATTCAGCACTGTCGTTTACCGAGGAAGAGATCTTGTTGAGGCCGTATTGCGAATCGCACCCAGCATCCAAATCAGAACGCAATGCCTCTAAGGACATATTGGACCTGTGTGCTTCGACATCGACAAGTGCCAAAGATATGGATCGTGTTATCAAAGTGAGAATTCTTCTCGTCGCTGCCTCTCTCTCGGCTTAGACACTTGGAAGAAACGCGGACGTCAGCAAAAAGAGGAAACATCCAAAGAACTTAACACTCACCTGGCATGAGAGCAGTTTGAGAGCAAAACATAGCGTCATATCGTCGAGCAATCTCAGCGGCACTAGATCGGGGCCCCATAAAGATAGCCAACTTTTTCCACAGCCTACTTGCATTCCTCCCAGTTCTAACTGGCAAAAGCTGTACTAGCCCTTGTCCGTTTCAGCCTGTCACTTTTACACGGTAAGACGACGGAAACAAGCGTGCATATCATACCGCTAGCTGTTTGTGATGACGTTGAACCGTGTGAAACCACTTCAAAAAAATTCCGTCCTCCGACTGGCATCTTGCCGAGTGTCTCGTTGTCTCCGAGCCGAAGAATACACAGTTGTACGCTCCTGTTCCTGAGATCTGACGTAAAACCAACTTCGAGAGCCCGGATCAGCTGTGGAGAGCCTGATTCCTCTGGCCATATCCAGCTTTGGTTCACGCAGACAAAACGAGTAGAAGTCCTTCACCGCGAGTCTTTGCTATAGTCCACGTGAGTAGAATTCCGTGACGAAGTCCCGGGGATTTGAGATGAATTGCCTGAAAATTCAATGTGAGTCCATTGCGTCGAAAGATAAAAAAATCTTTCTTTCTTTACCGTTTGATAGAGTCATTCCTCAATTACAATGAGCGCTATAAAGGGAATGCTCTCCATAAGAGCCACCATACCGAAGATCTCGTGGACAGAAATCCGCGGAAATGAATAGCAGGCACTAAATCTGCGCATTGATTGACTCTCGGGGAATGCTTACTCGCACAAGCGGCAGGAAATATTTCCCTGGAAAGACGCACTGAATACCTCGATAATCTCTGTAAGATCGCCAGTGCAGCGATCGTGAATGTAGCTCGCGGTCGAAAGAGAACCGATCGAAGCCGGCAAGAATCCATACCCCATCCCTCCGCCGCGCTCATTCCCTGTGCGCCAAAACCCCTAAATCCTCCCAAAGATTTAAAAACGAGAAAGAAGCCAACGACGTGACTCGAGCCGTGGACGTCTCATCCAATGGAACAAAGGAAAAAAATAAAACAACTATACAAAAGCAAGAAGAAGAAACGATGGAGTGTCCTCTTTCTTCCTCTATAGGCTAACCTTCTTCCTCTTCCTCGTTTTCTCAAGCTTGAAACTCAATGTACTACTACCTCCTTGCCTTGCTTTCCTTCCTTCTCTCCCTCCTCGCAGCCTTGCTCGTTGTGACTTTCTTAAGTACCACTCGCGCGATCGCCTTCCTCATAGTCCTTTCTCTCATCGTGTTCTTCACGTCCTGTTCGTTCTCTCCCGGCTGTGTCCATTGCTGCCGGGTCTTTACCTTCGCCTTCTCTTTGTTCGTCACTCTCTCCTTCCTTTAATCCCTGCTGCTGCTCACTTTGCTACTGCTGCCGCCGCCGTGCTTGGAAGATCTCGGCTTCCCTTCAAACGAAGACCTCCGCGACGACGAGGATGACTTGATCGAGACGGTTGTCCGAGGCCCCACAACCGACGACCCCACGCCAGCCGGCTCGCTCGGAACAAAGCAGCGTGACCGAGAAACTGTCGCCAAGCCACTGCCACTTTCTCTTCTCAGCGATGAAGACGACGTCTTGCCTGCCGCCGCCGCCGCCGCCGCCGAGCTCGTCAACCCGTTCACTTTGCTCGAGTGCCCG